AAAAAAATCTTTAAAAAAAAAATAAAATAAAATAAAATCAATTGCTTTTCTATATACTTAAAATGAACAATTTCCAAATGAAATTAAGAAAACAATCTCCTTTACAATAGCATTAAAAATATTAGAAATAAAATTAATGAAGTGGGAACTTTGCAGACTGCAAACTACAAAACATTGTTGAAAGAAATTAAAACCTAAATAAATGCAAAAACATCCCATGTTCATGGATTAGAAGAATTAATCTTGTTAAGATGGTAATACTCCCCAAATTGATCTACAGATTCTTCAGAGTCCTTATCAAAATCCCAGCGGGATTTTTTTTTGCAGTAATTGGCAAGGTAATCCTGACATTCATACGGAAGTGCATGGGACAGAAATTAGCCAAAAATATTACTGAAGAAGAACAAAATTGGTGGACTCACATTTTCCAATTTTAAAAATTACTATAAAATTTATTACACTAATCAAGACATTGTGTTATTAGAATAAGGAAAGACATCTAGATCAATGGAACAGAAATGAAACTCCAGAGATAAACACTTATATTTATGTTTAACTGATTTTAGACAAGGGTGCTAAGGCAGTTTAATGGAGTAAAATAATATTTTCAATAAATTCTCCTGGAACAAATGGACATTGCATGCAAAAGAATGAAACTAGATTCTTATAGCATACACAAAAGTAATACAAAATGGATCATAGACCTAAACCTAAGAGGTAATGTTATAAAACTCTTAGAAGCAAACAGAAATCTTTATGATTTGGGTTAGGTAATAGCTTCTTAGATATGACACCAAAAAGCAAAAGTGACCAAAAAAAACCCAGAAAAACAGATACATTAGACTTTTGTCAGACATGTGTTTTACATTGGCAAATGATAATACCCAATATAAAGAAGATGTGAAGAAAAGACAGCATGTTAGCACACTAGGATGTAAGCTTTCTACTATAACTTCAAGGTCCAGAAGAATGCAGGGTAGCTAGTATGTGCTCAATAAATATTTGTGGATGGTTATCAATGGAAATATAAATTGATACAAGTTTTATGGTGGCAATGTAGATATATGTGCCAATAATTAAAATGCACATATCCTTTCCTCATTAATTTCAATTCTAACTATCTAAAAGAAAAAAATAGAATAAGTTCTTAAAAACGAATGTGCAGATTTATGCGCTGTATTTTAATTTACTTATTGAATGGATACTTACTGATTGATGGGTGCCAAAAATATACTAATGCTACAAATATAACGTTGAACTATATATCAAACTGTTTTCCTACTTTGAATAATAATATCACTGATGGCATAAAGATATTTGACTAAATAAAAAAATCTACATCTGTTTTGGATTAAAATTTGTATTAAATTAGTACTAGAAAGATATTTCCCAACATGAGCTTAAAACATTATGATGCTTCACAGAAAACTAGGAATAAGATAAGCCAAGAAAATAATTTGACCTGGTTCTGGAAATTCTAAACGATATAAGAAAAATAGGTAAAAATTATAATTATTTAATTGGAAGAGACAAATAACAATATTTGCAGTCTATTACAGTATTCCTGAAAAATCTAAAATAAATTGAAGGATAATTTAAAATAACTGAAGCTTAAAGTAAGATGGACAGTTGTTTGTTTTGTTTTGTTTTTTTAAGTAGGCCCCATGCCCAGCGTGGAGCCCAATGTGGGGCTTGAACCCACAACCCCTGAGATCAAGACCTGAGCTGAGATCAAGAGTCAGACACTTAGCTGACTGAGCCACCCAGGCACCCCAAGATACACAGTTTTATATATACCTCACCAACATTATTTTCAAAATTTAAGAGCATAAAATACATAAAACCCAAACATTTACACAGCACAAAAGAACATAGCAAAATTACTTCAAAATATTTCAAAATTTTGCTGAGTAGCATAAAATACTTTAATAAAATAAAAGGCTTGGGATGCCTGGGTGGCTCAGTCCATTGAGCAACCAACTCTTGGTTTCAGCTCAGGTCATGATCTCATGGGTCCTGGGATGGAGCCTCAAGACAGTCTCCACATTCAGCAGGGAGTTTGCTTGAAGATTCTCTCCCTCTGCCCCTCCTCCCACTCAAGTTCTTTCTCTCTCTCAAATAAATAAATCTTTAAAAAATAATAAGATAAAAGGCTACTCTTATTTCTGAAAAGGAAGCTCAATTTTATAGAAAAATCACTTCCTTGAAATTTTTTTATTAGTTTAATGCAACACGAATCAAAATCCCCATAGGACTTATGGCTATAAACTTGAGAAAATGATTCCAAACTTTATCAGGAAAAGTAAAACAGAAAACTGGCCAATAATATTGTAAAAAGAAAAGAATAGAGGCCACTTATCCTACCAGAGAGTTAAAAGAATTGTAACAGTACCAACCAGACAAAATTGCTAGCAAATAAATCACTACTGTGGTAGGGTGGTTTGTTACACAAGAAGAATCCAACATATGCAATTTATAAAGATTTTTCACCTATCAGATTGACAGAATATTATATGTGCCTGCATATATAATTGATGCAACCTAGTTGTACAAAGACAATGTACACTGTTACTGGCATTTAATATAACTGGTATAACTTTTTTAGGAGAGCAGTTTGGCAATACATATCAACAGCCTAAAATATGTACATAGAGTTTGACCCAACTATTCTCCTTCTAGAAAGATATAATGAAAATAAATAACGTGAAAGCAAACATTTATCTACAAGGATGTTTTCTACAGCATCATTTATAAAGCCCCCAAAATGGAAAAATCTTAAGTGCATAGTAAGAAGGATTAGTTAAGGGACTATAACATGATTTAGCCATTAAATAATAAGATAGATCATCCCTAAACAATTAAATTGTATTTAGAATACTTAATTCAAAACACAAAAAGCTATCCATGACATTTTAATTGATACACTGAGTAAAAAATGCGGGTTAAAAATAATTCATAAAGTATTACTTCATTATAATTATAGATGTAAAAATATAAGCATAGAGTTAGAGAGAGGGAGAGAGAGAAAAACAGAGTGAACCCTATATAAAACCAGGGGTCATTGTCAAGTATTAGGATTTATTTATTGCTTATTTTTTCTTTCTGCTCTTCTAAACTTCTCATTTTAACTTTCATAAGCAGGAAGAGAATATCATTGACACACTTGATCAAAATATAAGTTGATGCTGACAAAACTTGCAAATGGTCAGGGTATGTGAGAATTGAGGAGATATTAGAATACTGTAAAGATTAAAAAGAGAAACATCTTCTGAATCTCCTCAATACACTTGTTGATTATGCTTTTTTCTGAATTAGAAAGACAAATTAGAAATACCCTGACAATATTTCATGCACTTGAAAGTCCTTTGCTGAAAAGATAAAAAGAAAATCTAAATAATATTTGTACTCTGATATTATCTGATAGCCTATATTAAGCCAAAGAAAAACATGTGCAAGATAATTTTCAAAAAAAAAGAAAAGACGTTCTCTCTCTTCCTGGTAACCTTGCTAAAAAGTATCTATCTAGAGAACAGAAGATCACCAGAGGGGAGGTGGGGGGCGGGGAGATGGTGAAACAGGTGATGGGGATTCAGAGTCCACTTATAGTGATGAACAGAGTAATGTAAAGAACTGTTGAATCATTATATTGTACACCTGAAACCAATATAACACTGTATGTTAATTATACTTCAATTTAAAAAATAACAAATTAGAAAATTTTTTCCAAAAAACAAATTAAAAGTATCTAAATATCACTGTTTATTTATGTAGATGAAACCTATAGAAATCAAATATAGTATAGTATACATCTGAGTATACTTACCGTTGTGTATAAGATGAGAATTTTCATTTTCTCTAATGCCAAAAAAGTAGCTTTTGCTACCTCATGCACTACGCTTGCCTACAGCTAGAACAGACACACATGAACTCTGTAGACTACATCATTCCACATGAATCACATGTGCACAGAACCCATAAAACATATCCCAACTAATGTATTGTACTTTAAATAGCAAAATTACTCTTTAGCATTTTCTTAAATCTAAACATGTCCTCAAATTTCCTTTACTTTTTCCTCCTGAAAGCTAAATAACAGCTATCATTGTTCCTAAAACAAGATTTCAATCTCAGGAAACTGTACTTCAGTGACATGACTAAAAATGGGTAATTAAAGACAGTACTTGCATTCAAAACACTTTCTTACTGCGTTATGAATTATTTTCACTTAGTTCATTCTATTCTACACCTATTGGGTTCAAGGCGTCATGCTAGTTATGTTGGAATGTAAGAAGTGTTTTGACGTAAGAATATTATACTCTAATTGTCATAGAGAAATTTGACTCTTGTTTAGGAAGATGCAGCAACATGACATTCCTCATCATGGGTAGCAAGAAGCTCTCTCCTTGGCACTTTGTTGCAAAATCTCGGAAGCACAAACATATGAGAAATGGCCCCCGAAAGTTTGCCAAATGGTACCCCTTGCTCCTGGGCATATTCCAGGAAAGATACTCCCTTTGATTTTGTTTGTTTGTTGTTCTTAAATTACTAAACATCAAGGGACCCTATAAAAAGAACCACTATCATAGCAACCTGTCTTAAATCCTCACAGCACATCTTTGGTAATTTCAGGTAGTGATTCCAGGAACATTAAACATATCCCACTTAAATATAAGTACAAAGCACATGCTGGCTCAAATATAAGTGATTTTTGAGTTAGCCTCAACTTTCTTCCATGTCATATCTTGAATTTTCTAGAAAGCAGAACTGATACCATAGGTTCCTTGTGTGTATTCTGTGTACCTCTCAAGACACTCCGCAAGCATGAGTCAGACACCTCTAACAATCATTTTACTGAATTAAAAGGTATACTCAGGCATGCTCACAAGTTAGAAAAAGACCCATTACAAAAAGAGTTTAGGTGATCTTTGATAGCTTCTGAGTTAGGATTATCTTAACTCCACTACTCTCCAGTCAAATGAGTAATAGAAAGCTGAACATACTTCTTTGGGAGAAAATGCTATGCCACCTTCCAGAGATGTCCCTTTCTCTAACTCCAAAGAATATATGTCAGGAAACGCAGGGTCTGTGAATTCCCCTATAAAACATTAAAAAAAACATATTTTTTAAAAAGCCAAATGCATACCTATAATACCACTGTTAAATGTGTAAATGAAACTTTGAGAAGCCTCATAAACCTGTCTATAACAATCAAAAAGCAATTGCTGTGCACGGCTGCATAACAGTGCTGCTCGTTAAAGAATGACTTTTAATACCAAGGTTCCAATCAGCAAAACTGATATTCAAACATGTAGCAAACATATATTCAGTCAGTAAAACAGACAGTAAACCCATTTTTTTTTAAATCTCCAAAGTTCAAGGAGCTTATGACTGTCATATTCGGAAGAATGTAGAAAGGAATGAAGGTCAAAGTCAGTTATGGGACTAAATATTAGGTCCAAGAAAGTGGGAGACTCCCTCTCCAGCAAAGACAGAGCAGGGAAGACCCAGATCTCCACTGATGTCTCCAAGAGGCCACAGAGGAGATGAACAATTTTATACAAGGTCACTTTTTGACAAAACAGAATCACTCCAGATATAAAAGCATTAGGTGGAGATAAACAATTGTTGAATAATAATGCAAACTTCAGGATGAAAAATTATAACCACTTAAATAAACTTCTAGAAGAAGTTCCTGAAAGATCAAATGTTTGTTACAGTAGAACCTCTGTCCTTAGCTAAACAATTCTAAAAATCCTATTTTCTCCTTCAAGTTTTCTGATTAATCCAAGGAATGATGATTATTTCAATCACCCCTGTGTGGAAATGAACTTGAATAACTCATTGCACCCTCTTCCAACTTAATCAATTTCACTTACCTTGATGAAAAACCATTAAATGACAAAAAACCTCATTAAGTGTATATTAACACCAGCCCTGTTTGTAGTGTGGGAAAAGATACACATATTATACAGCAAAGAATACCCACCTAGAATGGGTATATATCTAGAACATAGAAAATATAATAAAAATAGATAAATACTCATAAATATATTTGGAATGTATATAAACATATAGGCTGTGAAATGCAATAATCCAAGACAGCTTCAGTAACTATTTCTTGAGTATCTATAATGTACACAGCACTATAGCGGACAACTCTAGTAGAAAACAAAAATTATACATGTAGTCCTTGACCTCATGGAGCTCACAGTGTAGTAGGGAAGTCAAACAGGTCCACAGCTCTCTCTGATACAAGACAGAAATGGTTAGTGCTGAAATGAGACTTACACAATGTCCTAAGGCAGTAAAGATTAAAAAAATAATTTCAACCAACCGGACAGGGGTGGGTATGGGGCTAATGATTCATAGGGACTCATGAGGTTTAAGCTAATTTATAAAAGGGGGTGGGGTCACAGGCACCAGGAACAGAAGAGGCAGAACCAGCCTAGGAGAAGGGAAGCCCAGTGCCAGCAGAGCGAGCTGCTGGAGCCTGCAATGGAAAAGGTGACTGGAAAGACAAAGTGGAGTCATCCCCAAATGGCTCTCAACATGTCCTCTCCCATAACTCCTCTATCCAATCATTTTGAAATGATCATGAGAAAAAACAAGCTTAATTTGTCACAGAAGGGTATTTATGTGTTAAAATATTTATAATATACATTTTCAGAACATTTTAAGTATAAACTTTATTGCAAATTGTTAATAATAATTAAGATCAAGGGAAGTACCTCCTAGACCTGTGTCGGCAGCCTGCTGCTAAGAATCACCGCTACTGGTAATACAAAACAAGCAAAACTTTTTGAGCAGAGGAGAGATGTGGTAAGATCCGTGCTTTCAGGAGACCACTCTCTGGAACAGGTCTGAGGAAAAAAGCTTGGAGGCAGGGGAAGCATTTGAAAAGATGATGCAGTGGCCTAGAAGGGAGGTTTGAGCTAGGGCTAAGGCAGAATTGTGAAAACACATGCACTTTGCAGACTAGCTTTGCAGAATAACCAAAAGGAGTCTGTGATCCAGTGAACAAGGTGCGTGACAGTATATGAGGCAGTCAGCGAGAGTAAACTGTTAGGCAACTAAAGTTTCAGCATCCGGATTAAAAAATAATAATAAAAAAAAAGAATAGAGGCTTCCTACATATTTCCAACTGCCTGCTATAACCATTCCTGGGCTAGTATGCAGTCTCCTCGCACGCCATGCTCGCCTAAACCTGACCCCCCTCCTGTATCACCTCAACCATGAATTGTACCTCCAGTCGCCTACCTCTTATAATCAAAACCTGGGAGAGAGCTGAGCCTTGCTCCTCCTCCCTAACACCCAGGTCCACTTGGTAAGCAAGTCAGAGCATTTCTAATGTCTCGGCACCTTTGTACTCCCTTCCTTCCCAACTCCAGCATCACTGCCTGTGTTCAGGCTTTCATCACTTCTCACCTGTATGGCCACAATCCCTAGCTGGCCTCCCTCTCTCTGTTCTTGCCCTTCCCATTCCCACATGTTCCCCCAGCCCATTCTCAACTTTGCTCCAAAAGAAAAATGAGCAAAATGTGAGTCTGATCACACCACTGCCTGGAAATACATCCTTTAATGGTGCTGCCTAACCTCCAGGATAAAAGTCCAGAAAAGATCCTTAGTGGCCTGGATCTCACTTGCCCTTCCAGTCCTGTCCCTCTACACTCTGGGCCTCCTGAACTACCCACAGTCTTGACTCGCGTCTAGGCCTTTGCTTGCATTCTTTCACGTATCCCCTTTTCTTGTGTATCTTCTCGTCATTCTTCAAGACTAGGATTAGGCATCGATTTTTCCAAGAAATCTTCCCTTATGCTGATTGCTAGTTTTCTCTAACATATGCTCCCTTAGGACCATGTACTCACTTGTCTTACAGCATCTGCCGTGCTCTACGGTAATAAGCTGCTTCTTTGTCCAGCTCCCCTACTGTTACAGGTGTTCTTCGTTTGTCACTTAGATTCAATAGACACCTTTCTCTGTTCTGCTCTGTCCTGACTTCTCAGTTCAGCTAGGCCCCCTTGCTCTGGCTTGGTTCAACCACAGGGAGACAGTAGGATATCAGAAGGTAGGAGGTCTTTATGCCCTCATGTCTTCACTGCGTTGGCTAAGTTTCTAGCAATGGCTGCATTCCTCTACAGCTAGAGCTCTTACCAGTTGGCCCCTCTTCCATAATTTCACCGATCATGGGGCTCCAGAAATATGTGGCCTCCTCTTACTCCTTCAGGTGCAGACGTAGTAGCAGCTTCCATCCCTGGTTGATTTCTTTTAATCCAGGTCCCACCTCCATAGATAATTCCTTCATTAAACTCTCTTCAGTTAAACCCTTTGAGTGAGTCATCTGTTAACTACTGAGACCCTGACTGATACACTTGCTGTTCACTTCTTGAGAACATGTAAAATATCATATTATCTTTATAGACTCAACGTCTAGTATCTAGCCTATAATTGGTATTCAACAAATATTTATTGAAGAAGAAATGACCAAACCAATGGTTGGCAAACTTTTTCTATAAGGGTCCAGATACTAAATACTGTAGGCTTTGCAAGCTGTATGATTTCTTCCACAACTATTCAACTCTGCCATTATAGTATGCAAGCAGCCATAAACAATACACAAATAAGTGTCTCTGTAAATAAACAAATAAATAAAATTTATTTATAAATAATAAAACTTATTTATAAATAAAACTTCATTTATAAAAACATGTCAGTCCAGATTTAGCCCACAAACCTTACTGTGCGAACCCCTGGAGTAAACAAATGAAATATCTTTGTAGAAGTACCTATCTTTTAAACTTAATGTGACATAAAGATACTTAATAAAGGAGTAAACATACAGAGAGAGCTCTCCAAAGACATTTACCTGAAATTCTTGGGCAACTAAAATCAGCAATTAATAATTTCATTTTGATTTATAGTATGTAACCTTCTCTTTTACTTATACATAACATTTTTAACTAACTATATTAAATCAACTAACAAGTATGGATATATGTTATGCATTACCAAAGTATTCTGATATTAATATTGATGTATTTTTAGAAATAAAACCATGATGGGTTACGGAGTATAAGAAAAGCATGCAATGAGTAATTAAAAATACTTAAAAATGATTGCCCTTGACTTTTAGTATTTTTTAACATTATACCTTAAAGCAACTTAAAACTGTTTTATGAAAATATTATTACAGTATAAAAGATATACCTGTTTTATCTTTAAAATCCAAAGAAAAATATTCAAAGTCTTGTAGATTAAACTCCACTCTGGCACGTGTTATACCTTTGTTTTTTATTATAAATGGAATAATCTGAGTAGCACCAACATAGGTACCACTGAAGTTAAATATGTCCTAAAATTTAAAAAGAGAAAAAGAATCAGAAAGCAGAGTAATATTTTATGAAAATAATGTAAACCAAAAATTACACTTTAAGAGATTAGACCTTAAAGTTCTCATCACATGAAAAAGAATGTAGTAACTATGTTTGGTGACGGATGTTAACTAGACTCATTATGGTGATTATTTTGTGATACATATAGACATCGAATCATTATTTGGTATACCTAAAATGAACATGTTATATGTCAATTATACCTCGATAAAAAATGTATCCTGTTACTTTTCATCAAGGACATTATTAACTACTGTACTCTAAAAAAACTGGTCACATTTTCCTTCCTCTCCTCTACCTCCTATACTCAATCAGTTACCAAATCCCATTTATTCTACCTCCTTCACCTCTTATCCCTAACATAATTGTATGAAGTTAATAATGCATCACTTTTCCTTTCATTTCTAGATGTGTACTTTCTCCAATTCTCCTCTCCAAAACTAAGTCACAATTAAATTAACTGAAAATCTGCACTTGCTATCTTAAAATGTGATGATTCTCCTCCAACTACAGGACAATGTCTAAGTTCCTTGGCAGGGCTCATAAAGCTCATCTTCACCTTCCCCTGCCTCACCTAGCTCCACTCTTACCCCAATCACTTCATACTTCAGCAAGCTGTATGACCTGTCCTTTCCAACCAATACCTGATGCTTCATCCTCTTGTATCTTTATCAATGTGTCCTTTCTGTTAGGAAAGCTTTTCTTTAACTCATAATTGATTGATAAGATAATATGTATCTTTAAATCCCAGTTAGATAAACCATATTTTATTACACTGTGCTCGGAACTACTTCTGTTCCTTATATTTACTTACCATTACAACATCATAAAGTCTGTTTATTTGTTTACCAATCTGTCTCTCCTAGTGGACCTTAGGCCTGATTCATTTTTGTATCCCTAGCACCCGATGCCTAGCTTAAATATATGTAAGAAATGTTTATTGAATGTATCTTTTTTTAAAAGATTTTATTTTATTTATTTATTTGAGAGACAGAGAGAGCGAAGAGAGCACAAGATGGGGTAGGGTCAGAGGGAGAAGCAGACTCCCTGCCGAGCAGGGAGCCCGATGCGGGACTCGATTCCGGGACTCCAGGATCATGACCCGAGCTAAAGGCAGTCGCTTAACCAAATGAGCCACCCAGGTGCCCTACTGAATGTATCTTAACTTTAGCTTACATGCCAGGTATGTGCCTACCTCACAGAGCTCTGTAGGATTCCTCTTTTGGCAGAATTACTATATATAGCCTTACAGGTACTTAGTAAAAGAATTACATATAACATTAAAGAGAAAGGGGCAACAGTATCCTAATGTTGAAAATATTGCATTAAGGTCAACTGGCCACTATTTGTTTCACTCAAAATATCAACCCAGTTCTACAGGAGAAACCTGTAAAATCCAATATGGATAATGAAAACCTGATGCTTTGTATATGCAACAAGATCACTCCTCTTATACTATTCTGGCCTTGTACATATGCACATTTGGATAAAATGTCCTAATTGTTATTAAGATACATATTGAGATACATATTCAATGCCATACAGTTATTAAATGTCTTCCTGATGATATCTGATGATGCCAGAATATTATTTTTAAAAGGCAGCTAGGCAGCTATGTTTAAAATTCAACATAATCAGGGAATATTAATATATATGAATATAAAGTCTTATAAATTACTCAATTGTACCATAACATACAAAGCATGCCACAGATACCTTTAGGGTGTGGAAATAAAATAGTCCAACTCTCAATACACTTCTAATATTGTTCAAGGACAAACACCATAGCAATGGAGAAAGCACTCTGGGTACTACAGGGTTTAATCTCTAAGAATAACCACAGTTTTAGACAAGCTAGCCTAGTATCTGTCAATCTATCTAGACTCATCATGCCTTCAACACCAAATAAAATAAAGGTTGGAAAATTATAACTCAAAACCAGACACTAGAATTGTGGTGATGCCATTAAAGTACAGACTAGTAACAAGGCCCTGAGGCACTGGCAGCCTCACCCATTTTTGCTCGATTTAATTCAGCACCAGAATGGCGCAAGGTGCTGCAGTACGAGTGGGAGAGAGAAAGAGAAGTGCAGATAACCTGAAAATAATAGGACAATTGCTATGATGAAGATGGTTCCAGAGTTTAAGATGTTTGTACCATCTTATGAATGTCACAATGGAGGGGCATATGAGCCTGCTTTGAAGGATCATGGTAAGTTGTGTTTTTTTGGTTGTTGTTGTTGTTTTTAAAGATTTTATTTATTTATTTGAGAGACAGAGAGACAGAGATAGGGAGAGAGAGCACAAGCGGGGAGGAGAGGGAGAAGCTGACTCCCTGCTTAGCCACCGCCAACGACACGGGGCTCGATCCCAGGACCCTGGGACCATGACCTGAGCCGAAGGCAGACGCTTAACAGACTGAGCCACCCAGGCGCCCCCAGGGTAAGTTTTTTGAGTAGTTGAGACCAGATTTAATTCCTGAAAGACTTGCCAGGGGAAAAAAGTATGTGTGTGCACTCTATTAATTGTGGAACAAAGTTCTATCAGGGTTCAGAACAATAATTTTATTTTTTTTAATTTTATTTTTTTTACTTTTAATTTCTTTTAAATTTTATTTATTTCAGAGAAAGAGAGTAAGTGAGTGAGAGAGAGAGAGAGAGAGAGAGAGAGAGCACAAGCCAGAGGGGGGAGAGTCAGAGGGAGAAGCAGACTCCCCACTGAGCAGGGAGCCCAATGCAGGGATCGATCCAAGGACCCTGGGATCATGACCTGAGCTGAAGGCAGACGCTTAACAACTGAGCCACCCAGGTGCCCCCAGAGCAATAATTTGAAAAATAAATATAACTATAGTTCAAAAAATGCAAATCAAGACCACAGTGAGATAACATTTTATACTCAATAGATTGGCAAACATTAAGTCTTATAATACAACTTATGGAGCAATTGAATGTGGAACAATGGAAACTTGAGAAGAAAACATGGAAGCTATCTTGTGAAGCCAAAAATGCATGTATTCTATGACTGAGCGACTTCACTCCTAGGGAAACTCTGGCATCTGTACCTCACAAGATATGCACATGAATGTTCCCAGCTGTAGTGTTTGTAATAACAAAAAAAGAAACTCAATCTGTTGTCCATCCAATTGAATGGACAACAGATTGAGTCTCCGAATTGCAACATGTCTACATAATGGACTATTAAGCAGTAGTGAGAATGAAAAAAAAAAAAAATACAGCTACACACAACTTAGATGAACTTTGGAAATACAATATTCAGCTTAAAGTAACTCAGCAAAGACTACACACAGCACATTTCTGTCATAAAGCTCAAAAATGAACAAACTAAATAATGAATGGTTAAGGAATTCATATATATGTGGTGAGATGATTAGAAAAAGTAAAGGGAGAATAATCAGAAAATTCAGTAAAGTGGTTATCTCTCAAGAGGGGTGGGATCATGATGAAGCCTACAGATGACTTTAATGGTATTGGTAGTGTTCTGAAAGTTAAGTTCAGTGGTAAATTCTGAAAACTCCATTTAATATTCTGCTTCATCACTTATATTACATATATTAATTTCTACATGTCAAAGTACTACAGAATGAAATATTTTCAAACATAAATGGGCTGACTAGGGACACATAACAAAAGTCACCACACTCATAAACTGATTACTCAAATAGTTAACATACGAACATACTCACCGGATTAATTTCCACATCAGCAATCTCAACAGATCCAGCAATCCTAAGGTCTATGACATCTGCACGGCGAATAGCAACCTTATTTGAGAAAAAAATATAAAGCCTTGTAGAAACCACATTAAAATCTACTCATATACCGCTAAAGTATTACCTGGCATTTGGCAATATTTTTTAATTTAAATAATCATAACATATAAATGTCACAAGATTTATTCTGGTAGTTGTCATCACATTTCTTGTTATGCAGAATTGATATTCCTAAGAGGAATGAATGTTCAACTCTTAAAAACCTCCACCACAAATGGGACCAGTTCATAGCTTGTGAATTTGACTGCAGAGTTCTACCCATTTAACTACACATTATTGCCACTCTCTGTATCCCTTCTGTATTTACCTAATTTCAATGGATTATTCAAAATTAAAACAAATAGGGAACTGAGTACAAACATACTTCCTCCCTCAGAGAGATACTAATAACCATAATGATCATAATAATAATGATGAAAGTAGCTAAAAATTGCTGAGTAAATGGGTCAAGTATAGTGCTAAATACATTGTCTCCTTTTTAATCCTCAGTATCCTGTGAGGTTACCAATATTAAGTATTTTAACTTTTTCCTGATGGTCTCAAAACAGCAGTGGTTAAATATGAACCAAGGACTGCCTGAACACTGAACTGCCTCTGAGAAAATTAAGATAGTGAAATAAGAATTTAGTTGTATAATTCCTACAAAATTAGAACTGTAGATTATCTGAACATATAAGTGTCTAAGCAAACTTTCAGAAGCACAAAAACAGCATTTGCTGAAAGCCCTACCTATATAAGAACAGGGAGCATCAAGTCTGGATTTAAATCTAAATATACATCTAAGAAAGAGATAGGAGTGTATTTCACTCTTTCCATAGAAGGTCAGTGACACTGTTCATAGGCAAAAAAAAAAACCTCCAAACTATCATTTTTTTCAAAATTATTGGGGAAAGCAACATGTCATTTAATTAACTAAATCACTATATTCACATTATACAATTTCCACATTTTATTTAAAGAATATATAGTACATAAATAAAATACTTGACTAAAATCATAAAAAGCACAATTTAATGATTCAGAGGAAATTATAAATCAACATGGTCTTCATTGATGAATCCCATATATAAGTCTCAACTCCTCATGGCTGGCTTTCACCCCCCTCCCCATTATTCATCATCCACTGAATCTACAACAGAAATTAACATAAAACTTGTGCCCAGTAAATATGTGTTGGATGTATGAATGAATCTTATTATATTATGTGAAAAAGGTAAGCTTTGTAAAAACAGCATACTTTTCTAAAATACAGTAGAAATTAATCTTTTAGTGAAACTATTGGCCATATTTTTTATTTTTTCCAGACTATTATATAAAAAAATTCTGCCCAAATCTCAGACCATGTACCATAATATATAATTTATAAATATCTTTCAATACATATTTCTTCATAAAAGTAAGATATAATCATTAGGTTATCTGGGGCAAATTGGTATTATCACATTAAGCTACATATTATTTAAGAATTGTTATAAAAAAAAAAGAACTGTTATGGGAAATTAAGGATAAAATGGGGGATATATCTAAAACTATTCATTTTGATTTGATAACAGTGTACATATTTATTTTTTAATGTGAGTAAATGTACATAGCTGATGATCAGATTGGAAATCAAGAGTATTCCATTCCTCTAGTTTATAATAAAATTTATGAGACTAGTCTTCTGTTTTATTTATTCCATTTAATGAACAATTAGAAAAGCCCCTCAAATCAAGGTAATGTCTTTTCAATTATATAATTTCCAGCATATAAACTAGTAAAATATTCTATGCATGCTATAAATATAGATCTTAACACCATATAGAATTTGCCTATAATTCATATAGTCATTGAAGCTATTTAGAATTAACATTCCAAAATTGATTAATTTTTCCTAAGGTATCTAATTAATGCCATGAAAAAAGTCATCCTTTCCTCTGTGACTAGTGAGAACTTCTCACAACTCAAAGATGCCAAATATCATTCTAATTTCATGTGAAAAATGCCTCATGTTGATGAACTGTATCCATTGCATCTTAGTAGAAATAATTTTCATTACCAATTTTCACCAAAAATATTTTCTACAAATCCTCTTGCCAGGTTCTGCTATTTCTACAAGATTACATAAGTAAGGCTGCTTATTCTATAGATTATAGATCTCTAAAAACTGCATTTCTTTAGAGGTAACTCAATTGCTAACAAAGTAACCAAAATTTAAAAAATTACTCATTAGTATCATAATATTAAAACCATTCCCATTAGAAGAAATCCTTAAAACAAGTTTTCTAAGAATAAACACACCATTTTATAGCATTATACTTACTATTATAAATCTCTTAAACAACCAAACAAATCCACAGACATATATATATACCATATATATATGGTGTATATATATATATATGGTGTATATATATGGTATATATATATATAGTATGAATACATATATGCATAAACATACCTTTGCTCTTGTATCAAATTTTTCTGCTACAGTAGGTGTACAGGAGATATTGAGAACAGTTAACCCCCCAAAAGGAATTATTCCTTGTGATGGAACAATATTAATGGTAGGCAAAAGACTCTGGTCACAAACCTGTAATTGAAAATTTGCAGAAATGCTACATTATCCTTTAAAGTTGCTGGTCTGAAGCTTTCATAGGAAAGCTTCCAAACTACAACCCAGAGAGAGGACCCCTGGGCACAGAGCATGAGATGATTTTGTAATATGTTTTCCAACACCGGACGCACAAATAAACTTCAACAAGGATTTGTACCCCTAACCCAGCAAACAGAACTTTCAGTAGTGGCGGCATCCAATTCAAATAAGATGATGAAGTTTCTTGTCTGGAACGTTGTCAAGACTTAGCAAAACTTACAAGGATGAGATATATCTGTTAGAGGAGATGACAAAATTCTATATACTACTTTGATAGTTTGCCTTTCCCCTGACAGTAAACACTGAAAGCAAAGTTAGTGGGGAGGCAGATGATAAAGTAACCTCCTGTTCTTTTTTTTTTTTTTAATAATTTTTTTATTGTTATGTTAACCACCATACATGACATCATTAGTTTTTGATGCAGTGTTCCATGATTCATTGTTTGTGCATAACACCCAGTGCTCCACGCAGAATGTGCCCTCTTTAATACCCATCACCAGGCGAACCCATCCCCCCACCCCCCTCCCCTCTAGAACCCTCAGTCTGTTTTTCAGAGTCCATCGTCTCTAATGGTTCGTCTCCCCCTCCGACTTACTCCCCTTCATTCTTTCCCTCCTACTATCTTCTTCTTCTTCTTCTTTATTATTTCCTTGATAGCCTAATGTCTAAGATATCATTTTGACCTTCAAAAAAGTTATAAGTAACTTACCAAAGGATTTATGGTGTGGTTTCTTGGGGACTAGTTTAGGACTATCTACCATGCTTTAAGCTAGAACAATTTAAAGTAAAACTGGTTAAGGTATTTTGGGGATGAGGGAACAAAGAGACTTCAGAACTAATTTTGAAGCAACAGAGTAGATAAACGTATCTGCACTTGTTTGCTTGGGCAGAAAACATGTAGCTATAAAGCTTGAATGAAAGATCTCAAACACTAACCTCTATCTATTGTCACTATTGGGAGATCTTAATATATTTTTCAGCAAAATGTTCTATCACCACTTAAAACACCCCCCACCCTGTAATTTAAATCAGGGGCAACAACTATAGAGTATCTTTAGAAGGATCTTGTTCTAGGTCCCAGTTTCTACCATAACAGTCCTGATGACAAAGTGAAAATGAGAAGAGGAAAAGTATGTCATTAAGTATGAGTTGTAATAGCAACAATGGATGTTTTTGACAGTGCTCTTTTTTCCAAATTATCTTTTTTTCAATAAGACAAAATGACAGGAAGAAAAGAAGGGGCAAGAAGGACTAAGGAGACATGATTTTTGTGGGAAATTAAAAGGACGAAGTAGATGAAATGAACTTAGATAAGTCTCACGTGAAATACCTAAATGTTAGCATTAGTTAATTTATAAAGACTAAAGTATTAACAGCACAGTGATCATGGCAAAAAAATTAATTCAAATTATAACGTGATCCGATCCAAATAAGATTCCAAGATTCTACATTACCTTGAAATAAGCATGGTTTTGTCCTACGTTGTGAAGAATGGCTTTCCTCCAAGTTGTTAAACCTTGAGGGCTATTACTGAAGAGGATCCTTGGCTCCAAAAATATGACCTTGGTGTGACCAAGCTAATAATAAGAGGAGAAGAGAGAAGATACAATAGAAATAATATTCTTTTAGCCCCTTCCAAATGACCCAAATCTTTTCAGCCTCGTGGAAATTTCTAAAACATGAAGGGCTATCAGATGTTATGCTGTACTTAAAATAAAGGAAAATAGAATGGAATAACTAAAATGTACTCCTAAACCGAGGAAGGCAAGGGGAATAAGACAATTCTATGGAAGAAGTAAATCCAGGACAGAGAATCATGTAGGAGATCTTAGAGATCATCTATCCAACTATGTACAGGGTGTTACTGTGTGCTATGCAAAAGGAAAGAGTTCAAGAGTCCCCCAGCATGTGAAATAATGTGCCAACTGAGATTATCTAGGCATGTTTTTACTATTAGTCTTCTAACACTTAATATGCTGATAAGGCACACTGTGCGTACCTCAGAATGGGGAGGTGGTTCCCTGTGATTCACCGAGTTGCTTAGGTGCGGGACTCTTCCTCCTTATCCCCACACAAATCACTTCACAGAACTACTCTAGCATGGAACAGTTTTTTGAAAATGCTGACATTATCCACCTCTCCCATTTCACAGGAAAGCAAACAAAAGCCAAGGGGAACAAGAATCCAAGTTTTCCAATTCCTTATACAGTGCTCTTTACACCAGACCTTACTGTCTTTATCTATGATAAATTATTTATTGTCTTGGGAAGTTTTAATACATCCTTATAATTATCTGAAGAACATGACTTGGGTAATTGGAACAATAAATTTCTAAACAAAGCTAACAGATGACAAAATGGTCAAGTAAGTCATTCATAAATTAATGACAAACATTAAATGAACATTGTATTTAATCATTTCATGTTCCTCCAGCTTTACTTTTGTAAGAGAAACACTTCACAGTTCATTTAACCTAAAGGACCTCAAAAATTTCCCATAAAATAATCCAATTCATTATTTTGATATCTTGGGACTTTAATTCTTAACCAATCCTAGTGTAGGGAAAACAGAAAGTAAATTTGATCAGAGGGTAACAGCAAACACGGTGGGGGCAAACATATCTGGATATAAATTCTACCTAGGGCATTTACGGCGTGTGTGAACTTGTATTAGTTAATTACTCACTCTAATCCTCCATTTCTTCACCCATCAACTGAGTTATTAGTACAGATTTACAGAGTTGTTGTAAGGATTAAATTAGATAATACACGAATAGCATTTAGCACCCCGCCTGACACACAGTAATTAATGATACCTATTATTAATGCAAAGTCTAAATTACTAAATTGCTCACCTTCTGCCTGTTAGCAAAAAATACACATGGTGTGAGTATGTGGGCAAATTTATATTACTAACTTTGACAAACACAGTTATGTAATTAACAGCTAAAGAACTGTATGCATATGTTCACCAAAATAGAGCTGTAAGAATGTTAAGAGAAGCACTATTATAGTAGCTAGAAATCTGAAACAATCCAAATCCCCATCAGCTGTGTAATGGAAAAATGATGGTATAGTCACATAATGGAATACTATTCAGGAATGAGAATGAATACTCTGTCATCACATGTATCAGCATAGACAAAGCCCACAAACCTAATGATGAACAAAAGAAGCCAGGCATAAAAGAGAACACATGCTTTGGTTACATTTATATAAAATTTAAAACCAAAATTAATCTATGCCGTTAGAAGTAAGGATACTGATAACTCTGGGAGAGACACAGAGGGACTGGAAATGTGGATGGGGAGGGTGGTTCTTTTGCGATGCTAGTCATATTCTGCTTCTTGATCTGGTTGATCTGGGTGTGAGTTACAAAGATGCTATCAGTCTATAAAGACTGAATGATACAGAAGCCATAGTATGTATCCTTTGTATGTATCGTATATTTCAATAGAAATTTTTAAAAAGAATAGCAAGTAATTTAAACATAGGAAAAGCAGCAGGGTCCAGCTTATTTCAAGTCTGGAGCAGAGGAATGAACCTACTGATTTTCTGACTGCACTTGCCATCATTAAAGTGGATGAATCTCTTCTCTCTTAAGGCTATGAGCTCCTTCATAGCTAAAATATTTACAAGCATGATCATGGCCTGGAGATAGAGATAAGATTCAGTAAAACAGCACTGGCTTGAGTTAAATTACTGAGAATACTGGGAAGAAAATTTCGTACACAAGTAAAGAGGATTCTTGCTGATTACGAAGCATGAAGTTAAGGCCTTCTGGGCTCTACCACAAAAGGAAAGTTAAAATTACATATTGCAGCTTTAGCTTTACCCATTTTTATTATACGAAGTATATTCTATAAAATTAGAATTTTCCATATCTCCTTGCTATGTAAATTATGTGGTCCATTTCATACTGAATTATTAATTACCACTAGAATTCTAACAATTCAATATAATAGGACAAAAATACACTTTTCTCTATTTTCTTTGGTTTCTGTTAATGAAATAATTTAATTTCAAGTGGCCCCCATGGTATTGTATGTTTATAGAGGCTCTAACGACAATCTAGTATTGTTGGCACAATCTTGGATTTGTGAATTAATTCTAGGTAACACATTTTTTTTAGCAGTCTTCATTTATGGTAGAGAAGTGGGACCAAGAAGATGGTAATTCAGTTAACTAAATATTGCAAGCAAAATCAGTTTTACTAACATAGTATATATACTCAACTATACACACACATATATATATACCCAACCAATTTAGAGTCCTCAAAATAAAAATCATATCCAAAGGAAATCATTACATGTGCAACACATTTTAGTGTCAGCGTGTTTCCTTCATTGACATGAAGAACAAATTCTCCCCTTTCTGGAGAACTGAAACCCGGCAGCCATGTTACTTCACATTCCAATGAAGAGTATGGTTCAACCGTGCCTACGGAGAATTTAGAAAATACAGACATTGACCACATTTTAATTATATTCATTTTAATATCCAAAATAAGAGGTGGCATAAAAATATAATTACATTATCTAACAAATTATTTAAACTCAAAATATACAGAAATGCTGCATGAGAGATTATCAAATGAGTATAGACCTATAGTTTGATTAAAATCTAAAATGCATACCTTATTTTCCAATTTTATTAGGCAGATCAAAACATTTGACAAAAAGAACACCGATATTTAGCAAAATGTCCCCTTTATATGCTTCCCAACACTATGAAATAGTTATTAACATCAGACACTCATTTGGTTTTCAGAGGAAGGAATTACAATTACCCTGGGCTTTATTGTTTTTAAATTTGTTCACATCCCTAGAGATATCACCTCTGATGTAGCTATTAGTAATTAACACATTTCTATAATTCAAATGTATTGAGAACCCAGGAGGTATCAGGCACATTTGGTATGAGCTGCTTCATCTGTTTAAATTCATCATTTCCTTTGGAGTAAGAAAATAATATTTGATGGAAAGAATGACTTAGAAGTTCTATTCATCTTAGGCCATCAGAAGTCCACAGATCGGTACTCCAGGGCTGCCTTAGCAGGCTGATGATGGCTTCACAGAGCAATGATCCCTCTAGCTTCCTATACTACTGTTCTTTACTATGTGGCTTTCCTCCATGTAGAAAGGTGTCATAGTGTCGTGGTTAAAAAAGCACAAATTCTAGGGTTGGAACCCCTGGTCCAATTTCAGCTCTGCCATTTACTACCTGAGACCCTGGACAATTTACTTAACATATGTCACACAGCCTTAGACATAAACGGGGATAACAGTTCTATGTAACTCAAAGAATTGTAGTAGGGATTAAAGAAGCTAATACATGAAGAAGTACTTCAAACAGTGCCTGGTACGAAGGAAGATGGAGCTAAAAGAAACTTCTGTCCATACCTCATTAGCAAGAAAAGCTGGGGAAAAGAGATTTCTAGATATGAACGTTGCTCCCCCAACAAAATGAGGGTCCTCTTGGAAAGGGGAATGGATATCAGATATGGGCTTAGCAATATCTATTATAATAGGATATGGATATGAACAAATAATTATAGATGACATAACAAATACACAGTGGGAGCAGGTGGGGGGAGCCTAAATTAGCCCAAGAAAGTGGAGGAAACTTCATTATAAGAAGATGGCATTTGAATTGCGAAAAATGAGCAGAAGCTGCAGGAGGACAAAGCCCGGGGGAATATAAAAGTCAAGTGACCACGCTGGAAGAGAGTGGTATGTCAAAAAGGCTGATTGGAAGTAACTTTGACAAAGTAGGTCCTGACGCGATCTATAAAGATTGGCAGGTACTATACATGGCCAAGGGTGTCTTACTGGAAGACAGTGAGAGTGAACTGCTTAAAGCCAAGTGTGAGGATTGGGCAGACTCGAGAGTTCAATAAGATTAAAGACAACATGGATAAAAACACAAGCACAAACATGAACAGTACCTAATGAAAAAGTCAAATTAGAAGCCCAATTCTATCTTAGGAAACATCAATCCCACTCTTACACTCGCCCCCCTACAATATCCACGACCCAAACACAAATCCAAAATACATCACACCTCAGAGAAGAAAGCACAATCACAACATAAAATTTAATTTAGAACTATTCACTTTAGTTTACAAAGATATAGACAGTGACAGGATTAAATGTATTATTCAGGATGTAAAACCAATATAGCAAGAGGGATATAAGAAAAATAACATAAGAAAAAGTTATTTTCTGTTTTAACAAAGAGGCAAAAAAATTAATTATTACATGAACATTCAGAGCAACAAAAGGAAGATGACATAAGAAAAACCCATGTACATAATATAAATTATGCACACTTTCTTCAATGCTATATGAAATAGATTTGAGTACTTTATTATTTGTGTTCTAAAAAAATTCAAAAGTACTTAAAGCCTAATGGTATTACTCAAAAACATTGTATTTGGAATTAAATGTCTTTGTGTTTTGTGCTTTGATTGAAAAATGTAGCAGATGTTATGAACCACCAAAGAAATGGAAACACTAAAATCACCCCTGTAAAAATAAGAATTATCACAATTATGAGGAGCATAACTCTAGTTCATAATATTATAACTCCACTTCTCTTTTGTTAAGTCAAACATCATCACTACGTTTCCAAGGCAGGCAAAAGGGGAAAGTCCTACCCATTCAGCCCTGGTTAGGATGGAGAAATACAAGGAAAAGAGCCAAGCACTGTACTTTCCAGACACGCTCGATGCTTTATCATGTGCTTAATCAAACCTATAAAGAATACAGATAATATAACTACCACAATGTGATGACTGTTCAGAACAACTAGAGAAGGTTTATCCAGAATCTCTGAAATGTGCAGAAATATTTTCTCTCTCTTCTCTGATTATTTACTCAGTTTTTCTCTAGTACCGAGGCAGGACTCAGCCTTACCAGTATTAATAACAAAAAAAAGAGCCTGGTCAAATGAATCTGCCAGATATTGATGGAAGTATAATTTGGATGCTTAATAAATGATAATCTGGGATTTGTTAAATCAATACATGTTAATAAAAAGATTAAATATAGCTATATCAATGACTTCCAACCCTAATGAAGGTACAGTACTACTTTACCACCGTATAGATGCACGAATATATCCATACTAAAATTAAGTGAATTTAAATTAATACTGAAGCTGGTTTGTAACACTCCCTGTTACAAACACCGGTAGACTTACATAAAAATCATGATTTGGAAATGACCGATACTCACAAGAATATACACCTATAGCAAGATTTCTACAAACCAGTACTTCTCTGTGATCTGAAATATAGTCTATTTAGATCAAAACAGAATTAGCGAATTTTCATAACCAAATAGCTATCTATTTCTTTGACAACTACTCTTTGCCAGTCTTTACGGAAGGACTTTTCCATACATTTAATCTTTACGAGATATATTAGTCTCTCCATTTTACAAATAAGGGAACTAGTGCTTATAGAGTACTTTTCTCAAGATCACAAACCTAGCAAGAAGCTAAGACTAGTTTTGAAATCAGGTATATCTAACCCCAAAGTTTGTTTTACTTCCCATTCATGCAGAAATAGATTTTAGCTGATTGTAAAACACCACATGAGTCACTGCCGATACAAAAATCCAGATCCTTCCAGCTAGCTGAAAAGGGATAACATGTACATAAAATGAAGATACTATATAGATCATTCAACGTCTTTTTTTTTAAAGAGAGAGAAGATACTATATAGATCATTCAACTTTTTTTTTTTTTAAGAGAGAGAACTTTTTTTTCTTTTTTAAAGCAGGAGCAGGGGGTGGGGGGTGGAGTAGGGACAAAGGGAGAGGGAGACAATGTCACGCAGGCTCCACACTCAGCAAGGAGCCCGATGCGGGGCTCAATCTCATGACCCTGAGAGCACGACCCAAGCCGAAATCAAAAGTGAGACACCTAACCCACTGTGCCACCCAGGTGCCCCTTCATCATTCAACTTCTAACTTGCCATCATATTTCTTTAAACAATAGCTTCTGTCCTCATGAGGTCCTCACAGCACATCACAATGATGTCTGCTGAATTTGACAGGCTACTAGGTTAACACGTTAGCAGTTACCAGGGCTCAGTTTTGTGGCAGGCACATCATGTGGAATTACAGATTCAGGGGAATGGCTAAAGAAGGGTAACAGGACACTTAACAAATATATGGAACCACCAAAAACAGTAAATCGGAGAATATTTTCTATTAATTAAAAAATTACTTGTTTAAATAACAGTTTTAAGTTTTTAATTTTATTAACTGGATTTTATTACCTGTATTAAATATTGATTATAAAGAATTGGTGGATGCTTCTAATGATTCACAATCTAACAAAATATAAGTCATTCTGAATCATATCTTATCACCGTTATCAAACTAAAACTAAACAAAACAGTACTGTGTTCATCAGTATCTGTGAAGATTTATTTTGTCAACTTGGCCATACCTGGCCAAGCTATGGTACCCAGTTGTTTGGTCAGTCTAGATATTGCTGTAAAGGTATTTTTCAGATGTGATGAACATTTAAATCAGTAGACTTTGAGTAAAGATTACCTTCGAAAATGTAAAAGGGTCTCATCCAATAAATTGAAGGGCTATAGAGAAAAAACTGAAGTCCCTTTGGATTCAAGACTGCAACATCAATTCCTTCCTGGGTCTCCACCCTGCCAGCCTACTGGAGTGCCCAAACAACTATAAGAACCAATTCCTTAAAATCAATATCCTCCCTCCCTCTTTCCCTCTCTCCTTTTCCCTCTCTCTCTATATTTCCTATTGCTTCTATTTCTTTGGAGAACCCTAATACAGGATCCATATTTTCAAATCAAATTTACATATTTATGTATGTAAATATAAATGCCCCAATGACCATGTCTGATTTGCTTCAATTTTTAGCACCATTATACATTTCATACTCAATAAATGATTACTGCCTGAGCACATTAATAAATGAGTGTCTAAATCAAACAAATAGAACAAACTATTACCTTTAGCTGGACAGATGGAAAATGCCATTCCTCTTTTTGTGGTTACTGGTTGCCATTCAAATTTGGCAAAATAATTCTGATGATTATACAACCCAACTGTCCCCATAAAACATGTTTTCACGGAGTAGCCTTGTGGTCTCAATACTAGCTCATTAGAAGAGAGCTCAAGCTTTACTGGCATGACAACTGCCATCACTAGGATATGGCCACCAGGTATATTGTTCACTGTAAAGGTGAAAGACCTGTAACACAGCAAAAGCTGTCAAACTTAAATGACAATAGCTATTTGCATGAACAGAATTCAGTTACAAATAAAAATGCATATATTATTGATTAACACCCACAATTAGTAAGCAATACATCAAAATATTTATGGTAGGCTACCACTGAAATATCAAACTACAAATCTACAAATTGATGTACATATAGTTTCTATGTTTGAGGACCAAACGTAACATATTCTACAATTACTGAGTCAAAAAAATACATATTCTACAAAGAGGACACTTTGATTCTAGCATATAGAAATTCAAAAATAAATCCTACTTCCAAAATTTTCCAATGGTGGGAGATTCAAATACCATTGAAACATAAGTACTAGCTGTAGGTGGAATCACATATGAAAATTGGTTGGTTTTTTGAAGTTCTTTCAAATTAATATCTAACTGGATCAAAATATGCATAGGTAGCATATTAATAACATGCAGTAGACGAGTATTGGTGGAGTTCACACAAACATCACCAAAGTTAAGGACAGAGGGCCCTGAAAAAATGAAAAATGATTAAGTTTAGTGTTGGCAAACATATTCAGTAATTTTAAGTTTCCATACTATATTTTCACCAATTAATTTATAAAAAATGGTACTCAGAAAAATATTTCTTTTAATATCAGAAGTTATTAACTAAGACTTTTATCAAAATGCCCATAATTTGGTGTTTGGAGATTATTGGCTAAAATTTAATATAAATATATCCTAATTATATGGAAAATGATATTGAAAAATTATTAGTACTCATAACTCATTTTAGTACACTAATTTGCATACTGCAACACCTTCTCCACTTCCATCAATACATTTATGTTCATTTACCCAGAACTTACAGAAATTGGTAATTTTCCCATTGCTCAGTACTTAAGTTTTCCCTTTTATTTTTTTTTATTTATTTACTTTAGAGAGAGAGCGTGAGGGGAGTTTTAAGTTTTCCCTTTTAAATGACAAAAGTTTTTATATAATACAATTTTAATAATTATAGGTCTTCTACGTCTTTTAACAGCTTGATTTAATAGTAACTGATATATAATAAGCTGCACGTTTAAAGTGTAGAATTTCCTAAGTGTTGACATACATATACACCTATGAAACCACCACCACAAGGAAGAGAGTGAACATCCATCACTCCAAAGTTCTCTTGTGCCCTTTTATATTCTCTCCTTCCCATCATCCTCAGTACTCTCCCTTCCCAAACCCCCACTCATATGCTTTATGTCACAGTAGATCAGTTCACATGTTCTAGAGTTTTTTAAGAGTGGAATAATGTAACATGTGCAGTTTGGCTCTAATTTCTTTCACTCTACAAATTCCCTGGAGATTCATTCAAGTTGTTTTAGGTGTCAGTAGTCCATTCTTTCGTATTACAAAGTGGTAGTCCATTACAGGTGAATCTTTCTTCACTTAAATGAAACTTGGATTGCTTCTAGGTACTGGCTACTACAATTAAAGGTGCTAAAATATTTGTGCACAAATATTTGTTTGAACACATGATTTCATTCCTTTTGGACAAATATCTAGGAGTGGAATGCAGGGATCATATGGTAAATGCATGTATAAATGTGTAAGAAACTGCCTGTTTTCAAGTGGTTGTGTAATTTCCCAATTCACTGGCAATGTATAAGAGTCCCAGATCCCTCACATCCTTGGCAACAATTGAAAAGGTGAGTTTCTGGATTGTTCATTTTGTTTTGTTTTGTTTTAACTTTAGCCATTTTAATAAATTTACAGTAGTATCTCATTGTGGTTTTATTCTGTGTTTCCCTAATAACTAACAACATTGTGCATCTTTCTATGTGTTTATTTCTCATGTGTATATCTTTGTTGATGAAGTATCTGTTCAAATCCCTTTGCCCATTTTTTAATTGGGTCATTTGTTTTCCTAATATTGAGTCTCAAAAGTTTTATACACATTCTGGTTGCAATTCTTTCATGAGATACATAATTTGCAAATATTTTCTATCAGTCTATTCTTGTTTCTCTGTGTTAATGTCTTCCAGCCCCTTACAAAAGAGAAAAAGCAATATATTCAAGAAGTATAGCAGATTTTAGAGTAATACTTCCATATTTCAAGAATTTATTTCTAGACAAAATTAAGTAAACACAATCCACTGTACTCCTCTGCTAATTACAAATTAAATTGTTGACAAAAATCTATGAAATAACCATCAGAAACTTCAGAAAAGTCATGAGGAAATGGATTGTCTAGGAATTTTAGGAATAGAGAGATAAACCTGTAGTGAGTTTTCCTGGGTTATTATCGTGGTCTGGGCATTAGAGTAGCCTGCAGCCCCTTCTCTCTACCCAAAGAACTGGGAAGAGGGTGGCCCTATTGGGCCAAACCCTTTTAACTATACCTGCCCTATTCCAGGCAAACATCATGAAAGAAGTTGATCCCCTCAACATTAGGTTCTAAGAAGACTGGAGTAGAGCCCTGTCAACGATCCCTACCCTGCAGTAAGACGAAGAGAGACATCATTCCTTCCCTTCTCCACTAAAGAGGAAGTCCCTGTGGAGTTGACAGGGTTGAGCCCTGTCAACCATATCTGCCCTGCATGAAGGCTGACAGAGGCAGTGCCCCTCTCCCTCTGGACCATGTGCCTAAGAGACTGTAGGGTAGAGTCCTATTGACTACCAGCACCCTGCACTAAGAGGAACAGCAGTAACATCCCTCCCCTCCACTTGGCACTACAGTATATGAAATAAAGGCCTGCAGACCAAGGCTGCCCTGTATTAGACAAATGTCAGCAAACAGATGCTGCCCCTACCTCCCTACTATCACAGTGGCCACTCCACACCTCACTAAACAAAAGCAGGCAAATAACTGACACCCCTCCCCCCCACCTAAAAAGTAGGGGGAGGGACAAAGAGAGGTGGGAGTTAGCCAAGGACCTATTTTTAAATATGTGAATGAAGCTGTGGTCATATTTTGAACAGCCCATGTGTGAAATCTATCAGAACCAACACAGCAAATGGATTAAGAACAGAACTACAGGGGCGCCTGGGTGGCTCAGTTGGTTAAGCGACTGCCTTCAGCTCAGGTCATGATCTCAGGGTCCTGGGATCAAGCCCCGCATCGGGCTTCCTGCTCAGCGGGAAGCCTGCTTCTCCCTTTCCCACTCCCCCTGCTTGTGTGCTCAATCTCTCTGTCAAATAAATAAATAAAATCTTAAAAAAAAAAAAAAGAACAGAACTACAATGTGAAATAATGCCTGGGTTTCATATAGTCTTCTGGGGAGCATACCAAAAGGGAAAACCAGCACAGTACCACAAACGCTTTCAAAATTAAATTGATATTTGTTACCCAGCACACAAATGTGGACTACAATGTATGTTCCAGAGCTAAATGGATCATATGCATCTCAAAATAGATTATTTAAATAGTAAACAAAGTCTCATAATATAGTACTCAAAATGCCCAAGGTATAAACCAAAATTACTCATCATACCAAGACTGAGATGACAAAGATGATCAAATTGCTTGACAAAAGTTTTAAAGAAGCTATTATAAAAATGACCAAATAAGCAATGATGAATACTCTTGAAATAAGTAGAAAAACAGTTTCAGCAAAGAAAGAGAATATCCAAAGAAGAACTAAATAGACACTCTAAGATTAAAAAATACAGGAAGTAAATAGAAACCTCTTGAGTATGCCCTTTAACAGAATGAGAGGACAGAAGAAAAAGCTGGTGAACCTAAAGAAATATCAACAGAATTTATCCAATCTGACAAACAAAAAGAAAACAGATTGAAAAAAGAGTCTCAGAGACCCGTGGAACAAAAGCAAAAAGTCTAAAAATCATGTAAGTGGAGCCCCAGGATGAGAAAGTAAAGGATGGAGGGGACTGGGAAAATATTTGGGAAAAAAATGACAGCTGAAAAATGCCCAAATGTAGCAAAAACAGTAAACTTTCACATTCTAGAAGCTCAATGAAACCCGAACAGAACAAATCCAAAGAAAGCCATGCCCAGACTTGAAAATTTTTTAGTTAAACTTTTGAGATAAACTTTTGAAAGTAAAAACAAAGAATCTTGAATAACATTCCATAGTCTTGATATAACAACATTTATATCAAATGTAAATGACACAAATGCACCAATTAAAAAACAGAGATTGTCAGAATGGATGAAAAAGTACTATATGCTGCCCACAGGAAACTTACTTCAAATACAATGACATAGGTAAGTCAAAAGTAGAAACAAGTAAAAAGATAAACAGTGCAAAGGCTAAACAAAAGAAAGCTTTGGTAGCTAGATCAATATCAGACAAACTACATTTCAGAACAAAGAAAATTACCAGGGACAAAGAGGGACATTACATAATGATAAAAGGGACCAAGAAGGCATAACAGTCTTAAATGTGTATGCACCAAACAAGGGAGCTTCAAAATACGTGAAGCAAAACCGACAGAATTAAAAGGAGAAATAATAAAATCTACAATCACAGTTTGGGATGTCAATCACCTTTGTCAATAACTGACAGACTGTCTAGACAAAAAAGCAGTAAGGATTTAGTAGAAATAAATACCATTAACTAATTGGGATATAATTGACGTTTAATGAACACTCCATGCAACAATAGCAGAATACTTCCTTTCAAGTCACAGGAACCTTCAACAAAAGGGACCACATCCAGGATCACCCTTAACAAATCTTCAAAAATTTAAAAGAACTGAATACATACATGTGTGTACTTTGACCAAATGGAATCAAACTAGAAAACCATAGCAGAAAGAAAACCAAAAAATCTTAGAAATTTAAGTAACACACTTCTAAATAACCGATGAGCCAAAGAGAGTAGTTCAAGAAAATTAGATAACACAGTTGACCCTTGAACAATAGGGGTTTCAACTGCATGGGTCCACTTATATGCGCCTCCACCCCAATAAACATGTATTTTATATTAATCACCAAATAACTAGAAGCAAAGGGAAGGCTGAGGAAAGATGTAGAGAAAGCTGGAACAGCAAGGCTTTTGCCTGATCCAGACACTCCTCACAAAGGAACTGGCTCTGGGGAGGGATTCTCGCCAAAGCAGCAGGGCCCTTCCCTAGTGGGAGTTGAACAAGGACCACTGAATGATAACGCACCTTCCACCCCTGGATCAAGGGGTCTGGGAGAACATGGATGTGTGTGGAGGGGGGCGGGGCGGGCAGGTCAGAATTGACCCCGGGAGAAGCCCAAAGTGGACAACAGAGAGGGGCACTGTACATGGTGCTGAAAGTGCTTCCAGGTGGGGAGTTCATACTGTCAGGTAACTGGCCGCTCAACATTTGCCAGCAGTTCCTGAAAGCAGAAACTGTGTTAGAACCCCTAAGAGGGGTCAGATAGAGCAAGTGACCTAGAGAAGTGGATAAAGGTGATCAGCCTCTCCTGGTTCTCTGCACTCCCCCAGACTCCACTTGGAAGGAGGCTTCCCACATTCCTGGGTAGAGGAACAATAAGCAGGTGTCACTCCAGGATCCAGCTTTGTGAACTTCAGGTAGGGACAAG